AAGTTTGTGATGATAATTGGTTATGGCATATGCGGTTTGGGCATTTTCATTTTTCTGGGTTAAACTATCTTGCGAGAAAGGAACTTGTTTCTGATTTACCTGTTGTGAATGTCCCTAATCGTATCTGTGAGATTTGTGTGATTGGGAAGAAGCATAGAGATCCCTTTCCCGTGGGCAAGTCAAGGAGAGCCACAAAACAGTTGGAGATTGTTCACTCAGACCTGTGTTCGTTGGAGGTTCCCTCATATGGAGGTTGTAAGTACTTTATTACTTTCATTGATGATTTTAGTAGGAAAACATGGGTTTACTTTCTGAAGCAAAAGTCTGAAGCATGTGATGTTTTCAAACAATTTGAGGCTTTTGTTGAAAAGCAAAGTGGTTATGAAGTTAAAATCTTGAGAACTGATAGAGGTACAGAATATATTGCTTGTGATAATTTTCTGAAAGAAAAGGGTATTCAGCACCAAATGACAGCTAGATACACTCCACAACAAAACGGAGTGGCTGAGAGGAAGAATAGGTCAATCATGGATATGGTGAGGTGCATGTTGAAATCTAAGGATCTGCCTAAGCCTTTTTGGGCAGAAGCTGTTGCTTGTGCTGTCTATGTGTTGAATAGGTGTCCAACTAAGAGTGTCCGTGATAAGACGCCCGAAGAAGCTTGGAGTGGGAGAAAACCCTCTATCAAATATCTCAAGGTTTTTGGATGTTTGGCATATGCCCACGTGCCGAATCCATTGAGAAAGAAGTTGGATGATAAAGGTGAGAAGTGCATATTCATTGGTTATAGTGACGCTTCAAAGGCTTATAAACTATACAATCCTGAAACTAAAAAGGTTGTTATAAGTCGTGATGTCACTTTTGATGAATATGGTGCCTGGGATTGGTTAGCTAAAGATGAAAGTTCAGTTGTTATTCCTGCTGTTGAAAATATTGTTGAAGAGCAACCGATTCCAGATAATGTCCAGTCTCCTTCACAGCCAGAGTCGTCAGTTCGACGATCTCAGCGCGAGCGCCACTTACCAGCTCGCTTGCAAGATTATGTTTTGGGTCATGATAATGACCTGTCTGATGAAGAAATTGTTCAATTTGCTCTCTTTGCAGATTGTGATCCTTTAACTTTTGAGGAGGCTGCTACAGAAACTCATTGGCTTAAGGCGATGGATGAGGAGATCCGTGCCATTGAAAAGAATGGTACCTGGGAGTTAACAGATTTACCTCCTGGAAAGAAGCCAATTGGAGTGAAGTGGGTTTACAGAACGAAGTACAAGTCAAATGGAGAAATTGACCGTTTTAAGGCACGGTTAGTAGCAAAGGGTTACAAGCAGAAACCAGGTATTGATTATTTTGAGGTTTTTGCTCCTGTAAGTAGACTTGATACAGTTCGAATAGTTATTTCTCTTGCTGCTCAAAATGATTGGAAATTGCATCAAATGGATGTCAAGTCTGCTTTTTTGAATGGTTTTCTTGAAGAAGAAATATATGTTGAGCAACCTGCAGGATTTCTGAAGAAAGGGGAGGAAAATAAAGTGTACAGGTTGAGAAAAGCCTTGTATGGCTTAAAGCAAGCGCCTAGGGCGTGGTATGGTTGCATTGACTCATATTTTGTTGAAAGTGGTTTTATGCGATGTCCTCATGAACACACTTTGTATGTCAAATGCACGGATTCTGGTGATATTGTTTTAATCTGTCTGTATGTTGATGATCTGGTTTTTACTGGAAACAACTTGAAGCTAATCTCAGAATTCAGGGAGGCACTCATTAAGAGGTTTGAAATGACCGATATGGGCCTTATGTCTTACTTTCTTGGCCTTGAGGTTATTCAGATGGATGGTGGAATCTTTATTTCACAGAAGAAGTATGCTGCTGATATTTTGAAAAAGTTCAAAATGGAAAACTCCAAACCAGTTTCGACTCCGTTAGCTGAAAAGTTAAAGGTGTCCAAAGATGAGTGTGGTAAGAATGTGAATGTTACAGCTTATAAAAGTTTAATTGGAAGTCTAAGGTATCTGGTGGCAACAAGGCCAGATATTTCTTTTGGAGTTGGAATTCTTAGCAGATTCATGGAGGAACCAAAAGAATCACATTGGGCTGCAGCAAAGCGAATTCTGAGATATGTCAAAGGTACAAGTAATGATGGAATTTTTTACTCTACTAATGAAACTGTGGAACTTGTTGGGTACACAGACAGTGATTGGGCTGGAGATGTTGAGACTAGAAGAAGCACGTCAGGGTATGCCTTCTATCTTGGTTCGGCCATATTTTCTTGGTCTTCAAAGAAGCAACAGATTGTAGCACTTTCAACCGCAGAAGCAGAATATATTGCAGCAGCAAACTGTGCTACTCAAGCAGTTTGGCTGAGGAGAATTTTGGAATTTCTACAACACAACCAAGAAGCACCTACAACTATTTTTTGTGACAACAAATCAGCAATATCGTTGTCCAAAAATCCAGTCTTTCATGGTCGCAGCAAACACATTGATATCAAGTATCACAAAATCAGAGAGTTGGTTGCTGAAAAGCAAATCAACATTGAGTATTGTTCAAGTGAATGTCAAGTTGCAGATATCTTTACGAAGCCGCTGAAGACAGAGACATTTCTCAAATTGAAGAAGGAAATTGGAATGACCAATATATCCAACTTGGTTTAAAGGAGGCAATGTTATAATAATATTATTATTATAATTATTAAACCAAGCAAGTAATTAATAATTAGTTAATTTGTTGGAAATAATGAAAGTAATGGGTGTGGGTCATGCATTGTATGTGAAGAGTGGCCTAAATTATAGCATTAGTACATGGAGCATTAGCTTCCTGATTAGTAGCTTTCATTTAGTATAAATATGTGGTTTGTATTCATTTGTTAATCATCCCTTCAAATAACATTATTCATTCCTCTCTCTTCTCTCTCAATATATAAATATAATATATTGATATATTATATTCAATATATATTATAGATATATTATATTATATTTAATATACATTATATTAAATATATTATATTTAATATATCTAACAAGTTTTGATGTGTTTTATTTTTCGTCCACATCCAATAATATTTATTCTATACTTTTAAGTGTTTTATTTTTTTTTTATCAAATTATCTCTTTTGTTTTAATGCGTTTCGCCCCCACTGAACAAGTTTTCTGGGTTCGCCACTTGTCATGTGCAATTGGGTTACTGGTGGTAGCATAGATGGATTCATCATGCAATGAGATTATGGTGTAGGATTGGTAATGATAATTTTTCCCCTACATGTTTCATGCATGTGAGATGTGTGTCGTAGGTTGTCATGTGAAAGTATTGAACAAAATATTAATATTTATTATATTTGTATAAAATACTTGGTAAATAAATATATATAACATATTTTGTATTATATAACTTTGATATTTAATTACAAGATAATGTAAAAAGAAGACAATGGACAATGTAGTGAATATAATAAATTAATAAACTTGAAGGTAATGAATCTTTGAATTGTAGAAAATAAAGATAATATAACTAATGAAATTAGATTTGTTTTTAAATTTTTTATAATGAATAATTTTTTAAAAGGGAAAATTTTAATTTATGCCCTTCCATAATATGTCAATTATCAATATCACCCTTGAAATTATTAGTGGTGTAAATGTTGCCCCTCAATTTTCAAAACGGTACATATAATGCATTCCCGTAGTGTAAATATTGCACTTCATTTTTCAAAACGGTACATATATTGCCCCTACCGTATGGTACGAGAGGGACAATATATGTACCATTTTAAAAATTGATGGACAACATTTACACCATTAATAATTCAGGAGTGACATTGATAATTGGCATATTATGGAGGGGCATAAATTATAATTTTCCCTTTTTTAAATAAAGACATTATAGACATCTAATTGTAAATTAATTAAATGCATATGCATTATTTTTTGTTGTAGCTACTAATTTATTTAATTTAATAAGAGTAGTAAAGTGACATACATACTTTTCATCAACAATAATGAAATCATTGATTTTGTTTTTAATTTACATTCGTTGTTGAGACAAATTGTTTTAAGAGTTTGTCCATGACAATTGTTACAATTCGTGTAAATAGAGGATGATAATAAATAATTCAAAATATATAGTTACAATAGATATTGTTATAATGATATAGTAAAAATTAATTTATAAATTTCCTTAAAAGTTTTCATGCATTGATAAAATTCTGATGTGTAAACTTATTCAATTAGAGTCAATGAAATGTAACATTGTCAATTCTTTGGAAAATGGTCTTATCGTTTTAAATTCCAGGTGTAATTGTATTTATGATCAACAACTTTTCAATTCTTTGGAAAATGGTCTTATCGTTTTAAATTCCAGGTGTAATTGTATTTATGATCAACAACTTTGTAGTTAGGTCGAGCAGGTCTGACATTGATGTAAGAACAATTTTGTCCGATAAAAAAATAATAGTATAATATTTGTAAAGTAATGTACAATTGTATATTATAAAAATACATACAAAAAATATTAATACCATAACGACCTAAATCATACTAATAATGCAAAAATATAATTGAAATATTAAATTTTGTTCTAATCTAAATAATCAAAAGAAGATTAATTAAACGATAAAAAAAAAAAAAACTTAACCTAAATTTCATAAAGTAGTTCATACTCCAATAAACAAAAAATTAGTCACAACTACTATAATAGAAAAATAAAAATATTGAACAATAGTGCAGTAAAATTTAGTAATTTACTTCCTTCAATGTAGTGATTATTTTGAGGTAGGAATTTAGGATAAGAGTTAAAGTACGGAGTAATATTTTAATATTTTGACATTACCCAAGCAAGTTCCCTACATAATATTACAGCTAATATTACTCTGCTTTCCTTCTTTCTTCCTACAAACGAACTATATAGTATATATATACATACACACAGACCGATATATATCCTCCATTAACATTTTCTCGTCTAGCTCTCTGTAAGGCCAGAGAGAAGCGACGTCGTTTTCAGTCATGATCGAATACGTATCAAGCTGGTTCACTCCCACTGTTCTCTTCTGCGTTCTGAACCTCGTCATAGGAACCATACTCTTATCTTCCACCTTAAAGCCTCAGAAGAAGCAGCAGCACCAACTCGGTGACGACAACTCAGTGCCACAACTCGCCCCAGTCCCCTCTCTATTCCAACGAGTCAGGTCCTTCAACTACTCGCTCCAGCAAGAGCACCACACGCCCTCACTCTACCGTGCACCTTCTCTGCTCCAACGCCTCGGTGCCGTCAACTTCTCGTTCTCTCGCTCGGACGATTTTCCGGCGAGTACCCACCACGCAGATCCACCGGAAGACGACACCCAGACAACCCGAGCACCGTCTCTTCTGGAACGTGTCAGGTCCATTAACTTGTCGTTTTCCCGGTCCCGACAACCCGACCCGTCCCCGTCTACGACCCATCTCGCGGAATCACCGGAAGCGCAGACCCAGAAGGTTGAGGTAGAGAGAGATTCGGAGACCGTGATGAGTCACGACAGGAGAACCAAGTCAGCCACGTGCGCCGAGATTCCGGCGAAGAAGAAGAAGAAAATGGAGAAGTCGGCGAGCGAGAAGATGGAGGCGGAGGAGACGGAAGAGGAAGTGGATCGGCGGCGGCCGGCGACAGTAAGAGAGAAGAAGACGACGTTCGAGGAAGAAGAAGACGATGAGGCGGTGGACGAGAAAGCCGACGACTTCATTAACAGGTTTAAGCAGCAGCTAAAGTTACAGAGGCTTGACTCCCTCCTCCGGTACAAGGAAACCCTGCACAGGAGAATGGGAAACTAGGGACTTGTACTTCCTGGACCAACGTGCCCATGGGTGCCCAAATCTTTTGTCGTATTAGCATGGGCATTCTGGTAATTTCCGCTGCCTGCAAAACAGTGGGAAAGCTCTGAAAATAATGGTGGTTTTGTTTTCTTTTTGTATTCTGGTCTTCAGTTGTAGGGTAATTATGTTTTGCTTAGGTAAATTTCTTCAGTTCAATAATATTGGCAGTTTACCACGGTGAATCGAGACATGCCATGTTACGCATCATCTTTTCTGAATGTAAAAAAAAAAAAATTTACTTTTTACTGTTAAAGTATATAATTGTACTTGGGTTGTAGCTCTGCCAATTGTTGTACGATAATTTTGGTAGGATATATGTGCTCTTTATTTATTTGATTTAACAATATTTTAGTGTTTCTCAAAAAAAAAAAAAAAAAAAGAAGAAGAAGAAAAACAATGTTTTAACCAAAAAAGGAGTAGATTCAAAAACAAAAATTAATTCTTTGCTTTAATCTTATATGGCTATATAGAACATTAACAAAGTAATCTCTATCTAATATTACATATTAGGTTCACTATTTTTTGGTCAATTCAATTTTTAAAAAAATATTTCTTATAGTTTCTAAATTTAGTTTTTTTTTTTTGTTTGTATTTAATATTACTTTTGATTAATTCTTAAATATATAAATTTTATGTATTAATTTTAAATTAAAAAATAACTTCAATCAAATTTTATTAATTAAATAAGACATAAAGTGAAATGAATAAAATAAATATATGGTACAAAACTTGTGAGGCCCCACAAATCACCTCAATATGGCATGCATTAGATTTATTGAGATCTAATTTGGTGGTTTTGGGAATTTGGGGACCATTAGTTTGAAAAGATGATTTGATTATTTGATGTATGCACATTTTTTAAAGAAAATTTTAGTTTAATATGATGGAATAGTGACGTCATTTTCCTATTTATATCGCGATGAGCATGATGTCATGGGGCTTGGAGTGAACTTTAATAAATCTCTTTTCATCATGTGTTTCTGACTAGATTATGGAATATTTTAAGAAGACGACTAACATGCATGCACGCCTAAATAATCCACAACAAAAGTTTTAGCTTTCTGATTCAGACCTCATTTTATGTTGTGTTTTCGTCATGCGTTTCTGTTGTTTTCTCACTTCAACCATCAAATAGAATTTAACGAGAGATAAAACACAAAGATTTAGAATAATGTTTTTTTAATTGCTTGATGTTTAATAAGGTAATTTTCTAAAAAAAAATAAAAATTATTCAAAATTACATGTGTTAATTTTATTAAGAATAACTTAACATGAGCATTAAAATTACAGAGCTAGCACTCGAGTTAAAAATATTTTAGTGTGATGTTTGAAAGCTATTTGAGTGTTATATATACTATTTGAGTATTTGTGGTAGAGCCTAAGGATGATCATGTCTCTCCTTCGTCCTTGGTTGCATGACCTTTTATAATGGAAGATGAGGATTTGTATATTCATGGTCATTTATGGTGGAGAGAAATTAGTCATGTCGGGCGTTGGCCGGGTGGGTCAAGTTCAACCCTTCGAAAAGTGGCATTGTGGCTTATAATGATAGGATGTAGTTAAATGGTTAATGTTCACCTACTTATCACCAAATGATTATATACTATTATTAAAAATATAATCCAAATGGTTATATACTATTATTAAAAATTATGCTGTGGACACGGTTCCACAGTATAATTTTTCGGACTTTGTCAATTCAGTTGAGTTGGACAAATAGATTTTAGGCCCAAGCATCATTGTTCTTTGTGGCCTCATATTACTCCATATAAATTTAGGCCTATAAATGAACCCCAGAAGTGAAGAACGGCCTGAAATCCTAGCCCCAATGGATGAATGGATAGGCTGAAATCACAATCGTTATATCGTGCACCAGGCACAATGCATTGCAAGCCTTGTCTAAAACGATGTCGTTTTTTATGTTCAGATTTTATTTGTATTATGTTAAGAGTTTATGTGTATTTTGTTAAAAGTTTATGTGTATTATGTTATGAGTTTATGTGTATTCTGTTAAGAGTTTGTGTATTATATTAAGAGTTTATATGTATTCTGTTAAGAGTTTATGTGTATTATGTTATGAGTTTATGTGTATTATGTATTATGTTAGATTATGTATATTCTGTTATGAGTTTATGTACATTCGAAACAATATCAATATATATATATATATATATATATATATATATATATATATATATATATATATATTGAAGTTAACGGTAAAAAGGGGAAAGAAAATTTCTAAAAAAAAAAAAACATGACCAAAACGACGTCGTTTTGGTCAGGGCGCACTGGTGCACGATATAAGTTGCCCTGAAATCATACCAACCGTTATTATTAAAAAATGAAGGGAAAATGACACTTTTTCTCCCTGAATTATATGGTTATAGCACATTTTCATCCTAAATTATTCATGTAAGTATATTAGCCCCCTCAATTATTCTAAAAGTGGAGGTTTTCCCCTGCCTGATATATTAAATTGACATCTCTACCCTTAAAATAAACATTTTATTTATTTTTCTTCTCTACGTAGGGATGCCCACGGTTCGATTCGAATTGAACTGGACATTATAGCAATCGAATTGAAAGTTTCCGGTTATGATTCAGATCCACAACTTAATATTTGGATTTCAGTTTATTAAAATCATGAATCGAAAAAATTGGATTATGAACCGTGAACCGGCGGTTCGAATTAGAACAACTACTAGCATTAGTTTAAAATTAGAATTATAATATTTACAAATACTGTACGTTCTTTTTTACATTTATTATGATGCTCACATATAAATATATATGACCGCGATTTGATTTTGATTTTGAACCGCCGGTTCACGGTTCCGGATCCAGTTTGAACTGTTGGTTCAAGCTTTATTTTAAAATTTTATTTTTTATTTTTAAAATAGTCTAAATTCAACAATAAATGTACTTTTTTTTAATAGTTCGAAACATGAACCGGTCGTTCTGGTTTGCGATTTTAATAAACTATAAATATCGGGTTTCGATTATAAATTGTAATCGGAATATTTCGGTTTGGTTGCTATAGTGTCTGTTTGGTTTGAACCGAATCGTAGTCATTATTTGTTGGAGAAGAAAAATAAACGGAATATTTATTTTAAGGGTAAATATGTCCATTTAGCATTTCAGGGGGAAGAATGCCACTTAAATAATTCAAGGGGGAAAAGTACGTGCTATAAGTATATAACTCAGGGGAAGAATGCAACTCCAGAACCCACTGTTTTCGAGCGCGAGTCCCCTTCTAGAGGTAGTCCATGAAACGATGGGGACGCCATTAGAGGGTAACCAACCGGCGTTCATGAACCCACCTTTGCCAGCGAACTACAAGCTCAGTTTGCGAAAATTCATGACATACAAGAAAGATGATCTTGAAGGTTTGGAGGAGGATACGTCTGACGATGAGGGCGTTGAGGAGCAAGACGACCCGGAATGCCCAAGAATTAGGTTAACTAAGGAGGAGAAAATTAGGATCAGGATACCATGGCGGAAAACCCTCATCATTCAACTGCTGGGGAAGTCGATCGGCAACAATTTCCTGATTCAACGTTTACGCACTCTCTGGAAACCAGAAGGACACATGGAGCTAATTTACCTGGAGCATGACTACTTCTTGGCGCGCTTCGAGATACAGAGGGACTATGACATTGCTAGGTGTGAAGGACCTTGGATGATCCAAGACCACTACCTGATTGTCCAACAATGGAAGCCAAACTTTAGGCTATAGACTAATAAAACCCAAAAGATTTGTGCGTGGGTTCGTTTGCCTGACATTCCGATTGAGTACTTTGATGAGGACACTCTGATGAAGGTGGGGGATAAGATTGGGAAAACTATCAAGATTGATGATACAACTAGCCTTGCTTCCCGAGGTAAGTTTGCGCGTATCTATGTAGAAATCGATATAACCAAGCAGATGCTAGCTAAATTCACTATCGAGGACGAGGAGTATCCAGTGGAATACGAGGGTATTCACCTCATCTGCTTCAAGTGCGGTAAATATGGGCACAAGCTTGAATCTTGCGGCCAATATCTGCAACCAGAGAGTGGCCTTAGTCCCGGGGCTATGGAGGAGGATGCATGCAAAGATACAGCAAGTGACCTACCACAGAAATCAACGGAAGCTTATTAGAAGGACCCATCCAAGGCACATCTTAAGGAGAGATTTGGTTCTTGGATGCTTGTGGCGAGGAAGGACCGGTGGCCGTCGAAGAGGAGCGGGAGCTATGGCAACACTCAGAAACAGAACATGGCTGAGAAATCCCAAGGCCCAAGCTCGTCAAGAGGTCCAAATATCCAGAAGTCTAATTCTAGGTTTGGCCCTTTGAGTGACTTGAATGAGGACAACCAGGAAGAGGTGGAGACAAAGGAGGTTAACGCTAGTCAAGGGGCTTCTGGGAAAGCTCCGATGGGAGACCCATAGTCCAGTGGCCAGTCAAAATCCCGTCATCCACCCAATCAACAACGAGCTAGGACAATCCCGTTTTATCCAGCCAACCGCCGTGAGAAAGGGAATACTTCGATTTCTCCCAGAAGAGCCAACTTGGAAGCTGGCAGTAGGACAGGCAGGAGTCCTGCAGAATAAGCACCGGCAAGAGTTGCTCACACAGGTGGCGACCTCACTGGTATCCTCTCACCCACTCGTTGGCTTCCGGGCATCAGGACAAACCAGATAATACAGCAGGAAAGAAGGGGAAGACCTACAACCCCCCGGATGGCAGCAGCGGAAGATGAGCATACCCTTGTGAGAGGTTCCGCGAGAGGCCAGCCAGTCACAAGATCTGTCGTTAACCATCGACAGATTGATCCCGGAATTTCGGCATCTCACCCGTCATTCAACCACAACATAGATGTGCCTCCGAATGATGGAGCTGACTTCTTCGATTGTGACACACCAAAGGACGCAATGGAGGAAGAACCTTTGAACAGAAGCCGGCCTGGCTTGG